AAATCCGATCCTTCCTGATCAAATTTACCAGTTCACGCTATCGCGTACTTCGAAGTACTATTCTATACCCACCATGAACCCTTCGTATGATCAAGTGTCCAACAACCGCAGCTTCAATACCAACTACATCCAAGACCCCGCCGAAATGGGCGCGGCCTGTACCGCCTCGCTTATCCATGAGGGACATCGATGCCGATATCCAAGCAAACGGTGTGAATTCCCACGAGCAATTAAGCGCAACGGTGAAATGCATCGATTCTGCGATGCTCATCGCAACAAGGCCAATCTAAACCAAAGGCGCCTTGAAGCCCGACGGAAGAGAGAAATGGAGGACGCGAAGAACTCTCGACGAAAACGCAGGTCCACCTCGGCAGACAGTGAAAACTCGACGGATCAGCTGAATCACGCAGACTGTTCGTCGTATTCGGAGCCCTGTGGGTCTTTTTCTGCCCCTCTCCACTCTGTACTAGCGCAAGATGAACTCAACTTCCTGGGTGAGCTTCTTTCACAAAATAGTTTGGAAGATATACATGCGGAGAGCGCCGGAACCACAGCGGATTTATCGGCGAATTCGTTCTCGATTTAAAAAGGTTGAGGGAGCTAGTAGATAATGGACTGCAGTCAAATAATAGACCTCCTAGCGCGACGGTGATACTGTTAGCCATTTACAATACAGACCTTAAACTTCTTCGGGACGTCGCGATCCGCTATAATTCTTCAGCTTTTTGCTAGACAGGAAATACTAAGTGATAAGCTTGCTCGAGCTTAACTATATGGTAAAGAGCACTGCCCAGACTTGGAGCCTTAGTAGTAGCACCCCACCGAACCTCTATAGTGATTCGGTAGTAATCGGCAGTTTATTAGATTTTTAATACAACTGGAATAGTAAAGAAACTAAAAAGTAATAATTGAAACGAATACTCTTTTTTTGTTGGAAAGCAGAGTGTTGCTGGGGCATCCCAAGCAGACTAATTCGTTGAAGCTGGAAAGCTTAGCCGGTAACTAAGTCCTAAAGTCCTATCGAGTGAGCGCAGCAGATACCAGCAATATTTTGACCATTGAATATGCGTATTACTGATTACGCAATGTTACTGGACACGCGAAGAATATATATATTTTAATGCCATCAGATTTGACCATATACTAAGCTAGTGCATGTATTCTTCGCCAGTGTGTGCTACCTATTGTGGTAAAAGCAATTTCAATACCATCAACAGTATATTATTGATGATAGCGAATTGCACAAGATAATGCAAAGAAAAAATGTATTGCCAATAACAAATCTTGCTTGTTATTAACACGATGATGGAGTAAAACTACGATCATCGAGCTTTTTGCACATACCTTAGAAATTCAAAGCTCCCCCCTACGAAACACGGCTAAACACTCTAGTATTTTTATTCTGGGTTACTCCACCGTTGTCATGTCGCTGCTCGAAGTCCAGCGGTGGCCTTGCGAGGCATTGGGTAAGCTCGCTGTGTCTGCCAGCTCAATCTCCACTTGTAGAACTGACGAAACTGTTCTTGGAATTTAGCCTCCTTATTCGGACCGTAGAGTTGCGCGAGGCTTTCTGGAGTCACTCCTCACTCATACATACCTTCCATCTTGGTCAAAACCCTTTTGTGCGGCGACATCATCTTGACGCTGTCTTTTAGTTTGCTGAAAATCGTACTGATGGCTGGAAACGCGGCTCTCAGTTCACCTCCAAAAGCATCCGGCGCAACATCATTGCTCTTGGTTTTCTTCCTGGATCCATCTCTTAGCTGAGGGTTTGGTTTGTCCAAGACCTTGTGATGCCATATCATCCAGCACAAGCGAGCTGTCAACGACATCAGTCAATAATAGTGTAGTCGTGACAGTAAGCAGAAGAAAGCACCGCTGCAGTCGCATGATAAACCTTGTGGGAGATAAATCCAAAATAACGAAGGCTTGAAGGCAGGCAAATCATTAAATATGCCTCGATCTAAATATTTGTAAGAGAAGTAAAGTTGCTTGCTATCGTATCGTGTTGATGGTGGTTCTCGTAAACCGTGCAGAGCATACTAGTCCTGTAATCATCACGCTGGGCGGAGTTTCGTCTTCGTCAAGGCGTAGAACAAACAAACACCCGTTGGAACGGAAATCAAAGTAGCCGTTGCTGTCGTATTCAGGATTTCTGCGGTCTGCACTTTGAGACAGTCAATGTTGGTAGAGTTCTATGGTTGAAACGGCTACCAACAAACATAATTATCTGGAATTTACCGGATTTCAAGGGTCGCTGGCGGAATACCGGTATTTCCGACATGTTCAATAATTTGCGTACAAACTTGAACGAAATCGTTTGGCTACCTAGTCGCCTTCATAATGGGGGGCTTTGCGTTAACCTATGTCACAACCTGCTAGTAGCACACGTTCACGCAGCGGCATCCTCTATATTTGAATCTTGGTTGAACAGAGTCTGACCATGATTTAAGTCTGTCCGCGCAACTCTCATGGCGCAGTGTATTGCAGGCTACGCATTCATATAAAATGTCAGTACCAGTCAGCCCCAGATACGAGTTGCAGTTATGTGAAACGGATCGTCTACGGCAGCGTCTGTGTATCGACAATGCTGCTGACAAGTGGATGTGCATAACGACAATGCTGTCTGCAGGAACGGCGTGTGTCGACAACTGTGATGACACTCTAAGTTCGTAACGACGTCCAACCAAAGGGCGGAACGACCCAGAAACTACTCTGGCGCCAACTAGAGTAGCAAGTACATGTAGCAGAGACTCACTTTACG